ATAGTTAGTCGCGTACATTAGCGTTAAAGACATGATTAATTAATTCACAGACACGCATAATTCTAACAGACATGCGTAAAAGACATGATTATTGCTAAACAGACGCAGAAAACATTAACAGACATAGTATGACCTTACCTTAATGACTGGTGATCCATTCTTCTCAGCCTTCCTGTAGACGATGACATCTTTATGCTTCTTGATCCTTTCCCATCCCTCCTCGCTCTCTGCAGCATCTAGCTTCAGCATGTCCTGGTAATCTTCATCGGTCAGAGGATTCTCCGTAGGCGCGTCTAAGCACACTTCTACAGGAGCCTCAGCCTGCTTAGCTTCTCCGTTAGCCTCTTCCTCCTTCTCTTCTCCCTTCTCCTTCTCCCCACCTTCCCCATTCCCAGTCTTTCCCTCCTCTTCCCCTCCTTCCTTCTTCTCCCCTTCCTCCTCCTCCGCTTTCTTCTCCCCCTCTTCCTTCTTCTCCGCCTCTCCGTTTTCCACAGCAGCAGGAGCCGGGGCTGCCTCCTCTGTCTTCACCTCTTGCTTGGTCGGGGTCTGCTCCTCGGTTGCTGGTGCTTGCTCTGTATCAGCCATTTTTGAAATCTCACTCGAAAACTGCTTTAGAATATTCCGATATAAAACCAACAGGATTTTGCGAGTCTTTTCGGCTTTATTTGCGTCGTATAATAATCCAATCTGTTAGGCGTCTGAATCAGTATGTTTGCACGCGTATAGCTGACAGCACCCAGTTAACGGTACAGGGCGCGGTCCGAGAGAGAGCCACAAAGCGAGAGAGAGGGTGAGAGAAAAAAACATGAGTTGTGCAGAAAACGTGCAGCGGACCCCGTCCACTTATTTCACACGGATTTTCTAGAGCTCTCCGCTAACGCTTCTCTTGTTACCTTTTAAGGAAAGTGGGAGTGGACACACCTGCTAAAACGCATGCGCAGTGTGCCTGGGAAGTAATGCCTGAAAAGGAGAATGGCTCTAACCACTGTCTAGGGCGTTGGATTGATCCAATCGATCGAAGGGGTGTTTACTGCAAATTACATTTAGCATTGGCTCGGAGTGTTATCTCGTTCATTCTATTTGTAAAGCATTGAGATTAACGTAGTAGGCTTAATGTCTGTATTCTACAACTGCTTGGTGCTCCCATCATCAGGTCAGTGTGTGTTTAAAAATGTTAATTCCTGGAAATGTAATCTAATAAATCACTTTATAAAACATCCATACAAAGCGGTAATAATCTTCGACCAAAACAATGAATCACTTGGGAAAAAGAAGTAAAGCATATATGTGTCCCAAAATACTGTGTTTGACAGAAACCGAATACGATATGCATTGTAGATATATAGTAGTTAACAACATGGGAAATGATAGTTATAAGTACAGTGGGGATAGCTGTATTATCATGTCTAAAAGGATGAGGGAATGAGAGAATGAGTGAATGAAAGAATGAGTGAATGAATCAATCAACGAATGAATGAATGAGTGAATGAAAGAATGAGTGAATGAAAGAAAGAATGAGAAAATGATTGAATGAAAGAATGAGTGCATGAGAGAATGAGTGAATTAATGGATCAATCAACGAATGAACGAATGAGTGAATGAAAGAATGAGTGAATAAACGAATGAGTGCATGAGAAATTGAGTGAATGAGTGATTGAAAGAATGAGTGCATGACATGATGGGTGAATGACAGAATGAGTGATTGAAAGAATGAGTGCATGACATGATGAGTGAATGACAGAATGAGTGAATGAAAGAATGAGTGAATGAAAGAATGAGTGAATGAAATAATGAGTGCATGAGAAAATGAGTGAATGAATGAAAGAATGGGTAAATGAAAACATGAGTGAATAAATGAATGAATTAATTAATTAATTGTTGGCATGTATAGATACATCAGTAGGAATAGTGTTCGTTAAAAGTTTTGTTTTAGATATTAAAACAGAAGACAGATGGAAACATATTTGGAAAGGGAAACCTAATGACCACATTTCAGATAATATAAATTGATATCCGAACGAAAACCGAAACATAACTCTGTCTCCCTACCACGTCAAATCTTTACATGACTCTCTACACAGAATTTTGCAAGATTTATTGCGCCCTCTTTGTTAAAAGGCAAGTTAATGTTTTAGATGCCACGAGATTGTACAATGTGCATAGCACAGGAAAACATGAATGAATGTTTTTTCGGCTCTCATGAAATGTTACTTATTCTGTATGTGATTTTTTTCAATTATTACTCAATATTCTATTTACATTGCCGTGATGATGACGTTTTTTTAGAACAGAATGACTATGTGAGCAAGGTTTGCGGGTATTGGCTTCACCTCGTATTCAGGATGAATAGAAGACGATAGATTCAACCTATCGAAACGTAGAGATCATGAGTGGCCACTTTCAGGGCCAACTAACCATGTCGAAAGAATACGTGGTATAATCACAAACCTCGTTCAAATCTATCCTCATATTGAAAGCCTTCAAAGATTACCAAACATAATATTACAATTTAGTTTTAGTTTCACTTTTATTATCATTTCCAAGAGAACAATCAATATAAAGATTCATGGCAATAAATCAATCACAAAAATCAATGTACATGAATATTATGCATTTTACAAATCTTGTTTCCATTGTTTGTTTGGATATCTGTAACAAAAAATAAATAAATCAATTTCAACTTGAAGGTGATGGGTGATACTTAATACTCAGATAGCAGGGGAAATGATCCGACCAACAACAGGCACACTTATATAGTTTTCAAATTCTTAAAAAGGGGGAATTTACTGTACGTTTATCATGACTGATATCTTTGATCATACTTAATTTATTGTACTATGCTTGAATTTGACCACCTGGAGAAGTTCCATAACTACAATACTGCAATGCTTGATGATTCTTGTCAAATGTTTAGTTTGATAATTTGTAATACACGTTTTATATATTGGTGGTGTGTACCAGTCATGAGGATCTGTACATTTTAAAGCTAATTAATAGAAGGCTCATTACACATGTTTTGCACCTCATCTTTCTTGATATATTCCTCTTACTTACCCTTCCTTTCTTTTCTCACCTTTTGTTGATTCTTGCTCCTTGCTCCTATCCCTCCTTCCTTCCTTTCTTTCCATAGTCATTGAATTTTGATATAGAGTTTTAATATGATATTTTTATATTATGCCATAGTACTAAGATTATTGTACTTTTAACTTGTAAATACATGTACTTTTCAATTGTATTCCAATGGCAATTCAGTTGAAAGACTGCGACGATGGAATTTGTTCAATAAAACCCTTCCACATATATATCTCATATAGAATACTGAAAAAATGTTTTTTTCTTTTCAAATTTAGTCTAATTTAGTCCTTAAAATTGACATCCTTGATTAACTCAGACAATAAATTATCTAAAAACTCAGACGATTATTACTCCTGAAGAATTCACAAACCATTTTGTTTAATTGGTTGGAATGATACCCTACCACGATATTTATAAAAGTGATATGTAAGTCACGCGAAACGAATCAACGACCCCCGAACAGCACAATGTCGTCGTTGTTTGTTATCGGCTGGCTGGGACTGCGTCAAAGCTTTTGATTGTTTTTGTTTTCAGTATCAATCTAGAATTTGTTTGTATATTCTCTTTCTATATGATTGTTTCATGATATAAGGCGGAACCGAATAAGCCAATACTTGTAATACTTACACCTTATTCCATGCTTTAAAGCAGTCGAAATGCTATTCATAAATCCTTGTCATCTTGTTAATGTTGAAAATATGGAAGAAAATGAAAGTTACCATGGAGATCGAAAAAAGGGATTTTTATTTTTGCAAAACGACAAGGTTTCGAATCACGTCAATGATCAGCGCTAGATGGCGCTATTCATATTTCCGCTCATGCAGCGTTTACTACGACAATTCAAAGGGCAGTCCAACCATAAGTTCACTTGTATGGAAGCAGGAAAAGAGAATCAGAGAAGAGAAGGTTTGAAATAAATCAGACAAGTAATAAAAGCGTTATGAATGACTATACATGAAACCACTAAATCAATGCAAACCTCAAATTGGCAATTTATTTAATGGATCCTGATGTCATCATGCACAACTCTTTCGTTTGCCGTGTACAAAAATATCTTTAATTTTGTCTTTCTCTTAAGTATACCTTCTCGCCTTTGGCACTACTAAAATCTTTTATCAATAGCAAATTACTATAGGTCCTGTGAAAAGAAAAGGCCCTCCTACATGTAAGTCAACCATTAAAACAAATGTTAGTAGTTTTGTGTGTTGATACAAATAAGAAAGTTGGCCGGCACTACCGACATTATTGAATCAGCCAATTTAAAGTGCCCAAATGTCTAGTGGTTAAAGATTTCGAAAATTCATAATTTTCATAATTTCTGTCGGATTTCATTCAAAATGTCACCTGTCTGCTCTTCTAATTTTTCTGCTTTCTTTAAGGGCAAGGAGTATAATGATCTAACAACCTGCAATGGTCAATCCGCCCCCTCAGATCTCGATCATTTGGCACATCGTTTTTTTTTTAACCTGGGTGCCGCAATACATCCTTAGTGGTTCCGCTCTCTAGCAATGACTAGTGACAGAGTAATGCAATATGAATCTTCTGTGATGAATTAGGGATTGGGGTGATTAATTTTTAAAGGATTCTTAGGGATGCCCTGACAAAAATAGTTGAAAAACACTGATCTAACATCCCTCTGGTTATTGCTTAAGCCCACGCTTCGCCACTGCTCACCCACCCACTTAATCTCCCCCTCTCTCTCTCCCCTCTCTCCCCCCTCTCTCTCTGTGGATTTAGATTGAAATCATATTCTTTTTCAAAACTAAAATACAACTGAAAGACCCCAGGGGGGACAATGAAACCCGTCACAAATACAAATCAATATGATATTATCAAACAATGCGTGTGTTCATGCGAGGCATTGTGCTTTCATATTCATAACTCGATCGCGTCCACTGGAGTTCATGACACTGTGTGTTATTACTTCCTCGTACGTATGCTTTACATGTCGGCCTGTTTGGATCGGGGAGTCGACATTTCAGAACTATCCTACTCTCTAAACTCGAGCAAGTTTTATCGGATTCGGCAAACGAAGTAATTTCAATGCAATCAGAGCCGGACAGTTGAGATTTCGGCTGGAATCATTATTCAAAAGATTCAAATTTCGCCGTTATCGCAGTTTATACAAAGTTGAGCTGTATACACCGCTGTACTTAATTTCCGATTTTACCACACGGACTGCTCGTAAGGACTATATCGTTAGACTTGTTCATCAGCAGTTTATAGTTCATTATTCCTCAATTAATTTTTTGTCGAAATAACTTGATGTGCCCAGAACTAAAGGTAGTGAATGACGTCATTGATCCGCACTGAAAGGCCTACTGCTTGACTATACACATAACGTAAGTAGTTCATACCGTTTCATTTTTTTTTTAAAGCAATCCATTGTATTCATCATCTGTCATCATATAAATTCCTGTATGGCTTCTTTTGCTTTTTCTAAAGGTGTAACCCATGTCAAATTTCACACACTAGTTATTAAAAGCTATGTACGTTTTCTGTATTCAAAGGTTACCAAGTGCCCCCTTCATTCTTATTGTTTACTTTGCCTGGCCTTGTTATCTCTTGAACTTTGGTTCAGGCGACGACCCTTCCATATCGATATGTATGGGTTGTACCTGACTGCAGTTTTGCTCTTTATACATGTGAAGCAAATGAAAGCATGTAAGGTTGTAAACATGCTTACGGTATAGCTTCTGTTTGAGGCTATACACAACTTGTGTATATTGTGTTATATACATTATTTCAATAACATCTGCTATCTTCATGTGGCGATAATAGTGCAATAAATTCAATTTAGATTAGCCATTTAGACTAGCTAATTGTGCATGCTGAAATATAATATGATAATAGTGTAATAAAGAAAGATTACCATGGAGTCTATTCCATTTCAGGAACATTATTGTCGGTTTGCAGTGATTTAACATTTGCTCTGCAAGGTAAAAATTGCTCCGTGATATATTGTACTAACGTTGTGGGGTTAGGCTAAGGTTGCACTATTATTTAGATTAGATTTAGGGTAAGATAAAGTAAGCTTATGAATCATAAAGGATACAAGCTCAATTTGTATATTTTTGAGAATATATACTTCCACATAATTGTGGGCATCTACAAGAGTCTGAGGTCATTGGCCTCGGTGACGAAATGCTGTCATTGATAACAGAACTGGTTTATGCTTGAAAATTGAAATCAATTGGAAGAGATAATTCATAATTCATTCGTGCAACCTGATATAAATGACAGCAAACGTTAGGCTATATATATATATCATCCATAAGTTCACTTGATTATATCCATTGATATACATGTAGCAAGACAGCAAGAATCATTTGTTAAGGTTGACCGTTGAATAGGAAATTGAGTAAATGCCATTAAAAATATATAAAGGTGAGTTTTGGTATTAAATGCGATTGCATTGTGAAAGAAAAGGTGTGGAATGGATCAGAAAAAATTGATCATGTAGCATGTAAGTATCGGGGTGCACTGCAAGGTTCCGGAGTCATCAACATCTTAATAAATGTTGCCCAGTCTTGGTTAAGTAACAACCACTGTACACAGAAAGATGTATATGGGACTTCACAAATGGTGTCGGGGCTAATACTACCTGATGTTCTTATCTTTCTATGCTCATTACTCAGCCAGTAACATTTTCTTCCAAAATTGTTCGGCACATGACATTTATTTGTAATCTTGAACATTCAGTGTAAGTTTCGTTTGATTCTGTGAGAATTCATTTTTTTTTATACCGGAACTCAAGTTTATCTTAACAAAAGATTGCATCAAATTGTTTACATGCATGCCCACCTTGTGAGATGCTTTCTTATAGTAGAATTGGTTTTAATTGGTAACTCGTCCGTTTAATCTAGTACCAATTTTAGGGGCCATTTAGGGGTGTCTTACGGGTCCTAAGCAGCAGAAAATTTGTCTGTTACGATGGTTTCTGTAGTTGCCTGTCCCTTTTCAAGTTATTAACCTAGACACAATGCTTTATGAAGGTGATAACCAAAGAGTAGCTAATCTGTCTGACAAGTCATCATTGTGCATGAATTTCAATTTTAGTTTCTTTAGAATTTGGCATATATGGATAATAATAATAATAATAATAAAAACGTTACTTATAAAGCGCTTACCACCGAAGTCTCTAATCGCTATACACACAAAATAGACTGATATACAATTACATCTTATACAAAACTAAACATGAAAATAAACCTACAAATTACAATACCTATGGAGTACACATCAAAGTGAACAGAGTTAATTAATCATCGAACGCAATTTTGAATAAATGTGTCTTGAGACTAGTTTTGAATAGGTTAACGGTTTGACAGTTTTTTACATTTAAAGGTAATCTGTTCCAAAGTTCAGCAGAAGCTTTGCGAAAGGAGCGATTACCATAAGAGAGAGTTGACACGGAAGTACATACGAGGTTTAATTGTGAAGATGACCGTAAATTGCGTGAGGGTTTGTATTCCTCAATTAATTCTTGCAGATAAATTGGATGACCAGGAGGGAACGATAGACCCAATGTCATTCACATTTATAAACCACACTCTCTTTAATATGTCAAAGAAGAGTGTTCTGCTTAATAATTCTAGAGCTTAACAGTTAATTTAGCAATTCTGCATATTTTACCCTGCATCTTATTCCATTTTACTGCCCACTCTATGGAAGCAACACCATAACAAATAAAACAAAAAATGATATCATTCTAAAAAAGAATGAACACACTTTATAATGTTGAAAATCAGAGTTTACAAACATTTTAAAGGTGTAATTAATATAGAGAGAAAGAGACAGAGAGAAGAGAATTCAACTGTTATCATGAATGTGTTTGACAAAGCTTGATCGCAGTTTACACAATAACAGGTAAGAGTATAGGCCTAATAATATATTGAATGTTTACTTTTCATTCCAATTATTGTTTTCTTCTTCATTTTACAAAAAAATGATATGTTTAACATGTACATTTTGTCTCCTTTCTTGTCATTAGGTTACGAACACCAGTTTCCCAGAAGGTTGATTCCTAGACGAATCCAAGATGCCTGTTTCCATTGGAGAATGGCGGGTGCGGATAGGGAGATTCATACATAGGGGCAGGGAATACGACATAAGAGAGCGAAAAGAAAAGTTATTGAAGGAGAGAATCCGACTACTCAAGTTATTGGAAAAGAGGCTCCTTGAAAAGAAGGAAAAATCAGAAGGTGAATGCGAGTCCAAGCAAAACGACTCGAGCGCTAAAGTGGAAAACGCCCCAAATGAATCTAGCATCATTAATAAGGACATGCCGACTGATTCTCACAAAGAAGACAGCTGCAGTGGAAGTGAATGTACAATTGAAGAGAACACAACTCAAACGGAATCTACCACAAATCATAAGAGCAATGGAACTGTCTCTACATTCCCTTTTTTCTTCACTTTGTTGCTACCGTTGTTCACTTTGTTGTTATCCTTGCTCTTCTTCTTCGTCTTTGATTTTTCAAATTCGCTAGAGAGTTGTAAGCCTTTTCTGAACTGGGGTCTTCAATCTACCTGGAGGATTACATGTCTCATAATAATAATCGTGTGCAGCAGTTTTGCCTACATTGTTTTTTCATACGTAATAAAAGGCAATGATGACTTGCAGGATAGTCTGGTGGTAATAAAGGATGAGATTGCAAAAGCTGAATCTACCATCAAAGTGAAAAACACTTCAACTAAAACTACTGTCAAATCAAATAACTCTCCAACTGAATCGAACAGTAATGAAAACAACACCGGAAGTGAAACAACCATCAAAGAAAACACTAAATGTACCAAAGAATGCAACAAAACTCCAATGAATGATACCATCAAAGAGAGAAACACTCCTTCTATCATCAGAGATGAACCATCAGAGAAAAAAACATCAAAGACAACAACATCAAATAGAAAAACCATCAAAGAAGAAAATACTACAACTAAATTTACCATCAGAGAGAAGAGCGCGCTACCTGAATCTAAAATCAGAGGCAGAGTTGCCCCAAAAGAAAGTCATATCTACACTCTCTCTACCATGACAGACAAACCGCCAAAGAGAAAAACACCCAAGAGAAAAACATTAACATCAAAGAGAAAAATGTCTAAGAAAAAAACCGCCAAAGAGAAAAAGAGAGCAACTAAAACTACCAGCAAAGCAAACAACTCTCCAACTGAATCGAATATTAAAGAGGACAACATGCTAAGTGAATCTACTAGCAAAGAGAAAATTACTCAAACTAAATCTACCTTAAAAAAGGATAACACTATCATTACTGAATCAATAATCAAAGAAAACAACTCTCCAAATGAATCTAACATGAAGGACAACACCATTACAACTGGATCTACCATCAAAGAAAAAAGTGCTTCGACTGAGTTTTTCATCAAATACAAAAGCACTTCAACTAAAACTACCATAAGAAACAACTCCTCAAATGAATCTACCATCAAAGAGAACAACTCTCCAACTGAATCTACCATCAAAGAGAACAACACTCCCTCTGAATCTATCATCAAGGAGAACAACACTCCCTCTGAATCTACCATCAAAGAGAACAACACTCCAACTGAATCTACCATCAAAGAGAACTACACTCCAACTGAATCTACCATCAAAGTAAACAACACTCGAACTGAATCTACCATCAAAGTGAACAACACTCCAACTGAATCTACCATCAAAGTAAACAACATTCCAACTGAATCTACCATCAAAGAGAACAACACTCCAACTGAATCTACCATCAATGAGAACAGCACTCCAACTGAATCTACCATCAAAGAGAACAACACTCCAACTGAATCTCCCATCAAAGAGAACAACACTCCAGCTAAATCTACCATCAAAGAGAACAACACTCCAACTGAATCTACCATCAAAGAGAACAACACTTCAACTGAATCTACCATCAAAGAGAACAACACTTCCTCTGGATCTACCATCAAAGAGAACAACACTCCCTCTGAATCTAACATCAAACAGAACAACACTCCAACTGAATCTCCCATCAAAGAGAACAACACTCCAGCTAAATCTACCATCAAAGAGAACAACACTCCAACTGAATCTACCATCCAACAGAACAACACTTCAACTGAATCTACCATCAAAGAGAACAACACTTCAACTGAATCTACCATCAAAGAGAACAACACTCCCTCTGAATCTAACATCAAAGAGAACAACACTCCAACTGAATCTACCATCAAAGAGAACAACACTCCAACTGAATCTACCATCAAAAAGAACAACACATCCTCTGAATCTACCATCAAAGAGAACAACACTCCCTGTGAATCTAATTTTAAAGAAAACAACACTTCAACTGAATCTACCATCAAAGAGAACAACACTCCAACTGAATCTACTATCAAAGAGAACAACACTCCAACTGAATCTACCCTCAAAGACAACAACACTCCAACTGAATCTACCATCAAAGAGAACAACACTCCCTCTGAATCTAACATCAAACAGAACAACACTCCCTCTGAATCTACCATCAAAGAGAACAACACTCCAACTGAATCTACCACCAAAGAGAACAACACTCCCTCTGAATCTAACATCAAACTGAACAACACTACAACTAAATCTACCATCGAAGAGAACAACACTCCAACTGAATCTACTATCAAAGAGAACAACACTCTAACTGAATCTACCATCAAAGATAACAACACTCCAACTGAATCTACCATCAAAGAGAACAACACTCCCTCTGAATTTAATTTCAAAGAAAACAACACTTCAACTGAATCTACCATCAAAGAGAACAACCCTCCATCTGAATCTACTATCAAAGAGAACAACACTCGAACTGAATCTACCCTCAAAGAGAACAACACTCCAACTCAATCTACCATCAAAGAGAACAACACTTCCTCTGAATCTAACATCAAACAGAACAACACTCCAACTGAATCTACCATCAAACAGAACAACACTCCAACTGAATCTACCATCGAAGAGAACAACTCTCTAACTGACTCTACCATTAAAAACAACGACCGTTCAAGTGAATCTACAATCAAAGACTACAATTCTACAATTCAATCTATCAACGAAAAGAACAACACTACAGCTGAATCCTCCAACAAAGGCAGTAACTCTACAAAAGAAAGTACCATCAAAGACAGCAACACTCCAACTGAATCTACACACGAAGAGAACGACACTTCAACAGAATCTACTCTCAAAGGAACCAGCTCTACAACTTCTATCAAAGACAACGGCTCTCCAACTGAATCTACCAACGAAAGCAACAACCATTCAAGTGAATCTCCCATCAAAGGCAACAACTCTAGAAGTGAATCTACCCCAAAAGACAGCAACACTACAAGTATATATGCTATTAAAGAGAAAAACACTCCTTCTAGAACTCCCACTGGAGAGAGAGACAATCAACCCATGAAAGTGAACAGCGTGCAGGCAGAATATACCTTAGGATCCGGAACCCAAAAGGTGTGTATGTATTTTAACTAGGTTATATTCTTCCACTCCGGTTTCACTCAACAGCTTTGAAATACATGTAGAAACAATTAAAGATTAAGCAACATCATCCACATTACCTAATGCCATGACATATGCAGACAAATTTATGAATATATGTAGAAATGTTTACAACTCTCAGCTTCAACATGTTATATTTCAGTACTGAAAACTGTATCAGCTCAAATTATGTATTCATATTTGTTTGTTCTATAACGATTGATGTATGTGCAAATATCATTTTAGATTCATTCAGCCTTTCCACAAAATTCCATAGGTACCCTCAGACGGAAAACACAGTATTTCGAGTCAGATTCCAAGCAGCCTGAAAGGAAACACTGATGATCCTGTCATGCAAGAGAGCACCTGCCTCCCTGAAATGATCCTGGTCAAGGCTGGAGATGTAGAACAAAATCCAGGTCCATTCGACAGGTAAACATCTTGCTCTTTTTTTTGTTTGGGGGGGGGGGGGGAGGGGCAGTACTCAAGACTTCTTATATTACCTTTTATCTTGGTGATGAAACACAACCCAAGAAGGTTTATGTTAACCACAAACGTCCATCCACTGCTGAAAACTAGTTTGTTTACATCTCATCGTGTGAAAAGTGATTCTTTACATTCTACTAGATGCAATTACAAAAAAAGTCAAACAAATGTTCATCGATGGGAAAGGAAAGGAAAGAGAGGTATCTCTCAATGCCTTCAGAAAATGTGTCAAGGTAAAGCGCAATTGAGCATGTAGATGGAAACTGCTCTAGATAAATACAATGTTATTATTATCATTATTATTATTGCCCTTAGAATACATCCGACAGCACTATTATTCCGTCTATCGACCATGCCAAATTGCCGTATAAATTTGAAAAATATGTTCAGAATTGATCACTCAAAGGGAGAAAATATCGGCACCAGAAGACCCAAATGGATCCTACTTTGACTTGTAAACAAGATCGTTCTAGGTTTCAGAGATCTTTCCCAATTCAATATGAAAGTAACTATTGATAGCACAGTTAAACCATTCACTTAAACACTAGTTAGGCCACTCACCACTCTCTGGTGAATATAACGCTTTTATATACTGCTTCATGTTCATTCTTCCATGTGTTTATTTTTCAAGAGTAATTATCGTTTCAGGTTTCTTGTTTAAACAGATCAGCAGACATACAAGAAACAACTTAGGTTATCTTCCCAAATTTCCTATTTACTCAGGTCAGCAAATATTCAAGAACAAGAACTGGTAAACCTGGCGTACGATGTACCTTCATCAAAATACGCAGAGTTGTGCATTGCACTTGGTGTATCCTACAATCAGAGCCAAACCATTCTTGACAGGCATCTCTTTGATTTAACGAGATCACTGAATGCGGTATTCTTTCAGTGGAGGGAAAGACAGAGGGATGGCACAGATTGTCGTCAAGTTATTGCTGCAGCGCTTCGTGGTGTTGACCTGGACGCACACGGTGAAAAAATGTCCAGAGGTAAAGTTATTGTTTATTTGAAATGCACTTTAAAGACTCTTTCTTGATATTTAATGTTATTCTATGCCATTTAGATACCTTGGCATTGTTCTTCAATCCATGTCACCTATGCTTTTCTCATGCCTTTTTTTAACTTCTCTGTATAATTTTACACCTTCAACCGTATTCTCCTTTTGCTTCAGTTCTCTGCGTTTTTCGCATAGCTTTAGTATGTGATCTGTGACCCGGGGCTTGTTTGTTGGTCGCCAAGGATGTCGTTGGCTGTTTCTGTCACGGCAGTGTTAAATCTGTTTATCAGAGTGTCTATTTTGGTGTCCTGATTACCAAGGACGAGGAGTGGAGCAAACTTTCCTCCTATCGTTGCTCGAAACATTTCTGCGATGTTGGGGTCCTTGAGTTTTTCAAGACTAAACCTGATCCTTTTGTTGCCCTGGCTTTTCATCCTTTGGAGGCGTAGTCTGAAAGTCATCATCTTAAGCTCATGGTAACATCCGACGTCGGCTCCTGGAAAGCTCCTGGTCTTTGCGATGTTCGCACTTGACTGGAAGCGTCATTTGACCATGATGTAGTCAATCTGATTGTGATATTGTCCTCCTGGGTTGTGCCATGTCCAGCGTCTAGATGGTTTTTTGTGGGCCAAATGTGTTCACCACCTTCAGGTAAATATACTTGGCGAATTCTAAGAGCCTCAAGCCTCTTTCGTTGGTCTCAGGGTTGCAATATTGGCCACATGTCCCCTTCCAGTTCTTGCTTGTGTCCTCTCCTATCTTCGCAATTCAGTCGCCCTGCACTACAATGATGTCTTTCTTTGGCATCTGGTCTATGACTTTTTGCAGATGATCATAGAAGTCTTCAATGACATCGTCAACATAGTCAGTAGGTGGGGCTTAAGCTTGGATGATGATGATGTTAAAAGGTGATGCCTTCAGACGAATGGTAATGAGTCGGCTAGATATTGGTCGGCAGCATCAATTTCGACTGTGATGTTGCTCCTGTTCTACTTTCATATTCACATTTATATTCATTCCTGAATTTATTCATGATGTGATTCAGAATTGTATTTGGATTTGTGCTGAAAGCCGGAGGACCGTACCTGCTCATAGACTTTTTCTTTATAGAGTCTTGATGCCCTTCTGGCTTTCAGCACACGACAACATGTTTTTGTCTTATGTTTTATATATTACATGTTACACCAATGGAAAACAAATTTCTGTATTATATTATGGACAATTAAATCTTGAATCTTGAATCTTGATCCATATGATGGCATTCACAGTGTCTTTGCAAATGAGGAATCCAACTCCATGCTCACGTCTGACTTCACTGCCACTGAAGTAGAGTTTGTGGCCTCTGGAGTAGACGTTTCTCCGAAGTTATTCCAATGTACTTCACATAGTCCAAGGATATTCCATCGGTATCTCTCCATTTCGTGCGTTAGTTCTTCAACTTTTCCTGCTGCTCTCAGTGACCTCACATTCCAGGTGCCAATGGTGATATTGTTTCCTGGCACGTAATGATTTTGGTCCATCATTAACATATTTTTCGCCTCCGTTCTGATGGCCAGCAACGGAAGGTGCGGTCCTTGTTCCGGGCGACGACCGAGCCGGTATAGATTGAGTTGTGGTTGTCATCTTCATGTAGTGTGTCTTGGGCAGTGTCGCATGGCGGAGCCCATCCCTCCCCTGTCAGACCACAGCCGATGTCCTCCAATTTAGGTGGTTTGTCTTGATCTTCAACACGTAGCCGTTGAGTTCGTGAGGGAACTTTATCCGCCCCGGCCGGTAATTCGTGAAGGTCATTCGCCCAGTGATGCCGTGTTAACATCACCCCCTCATGTGGTTTAGCACGCCTGCTGAGGCGAGGTCCCGGGATGTGGCGCTTGGAGCCAGCACGTGAGAGATTTAGGAAATGGATAAGGACCAGTGATACCTGTCTATCCTACCAGGTAGAGTGCAGTAGCCACACGTCAAAGGTGTTACCCCTATCTGGAGCCCCAGGCATACTATATAAGCTGACAAATGCAATCATTATACACTGCAGTGTCTTTCTATACAAATCCTCAGGAAAATTGGAAAATACATTCTTTAACTTTCATATTTATCGCAATATATCGTATTTTTCCATGAATCATATGATTCACCTATTGCTGCTTTATAGAAAGATCAAGAACACATTTTCAGGCCATTGTTCGAAACTTACATGTAGGTTTTGTCGCTTTATAATCAAAATCACACGATTGTACCAATTTTCTCCAACAGGTGGCTATCTCCCGCAAGAAGCAGCTTCAACTGGTAAGCAAGTATTATTTTGTTAAGTCATTGAAAATGTCACTTTTGATATGTAATAACTCAAACGTGTTGGGTTACATTAATTTTCATATGTTGACATTATCTTGGTAATTATAGTTTGCTCCACTATAATACGTCTCAGATCAGGGATCATTAATGACATGATTAATTTTCTTCGGTTTTTCAGAAGTAGGCTGAGACCTGTACCGGTGTAGCATATTTATCTAATCGGTGAATATACAGGGGTCTATTTATGTAATCACATGTCAGGTGAAATACCGACAAAGGAGAGTTCAATCGGAAAATTTGCATTTCAAAATTCCTTAGTTGATATCTTCATTTGATTTTTGTCCTTCCACTAGAACACTACATACTAAAACTATCATGAAATTGTGATTAGACTATTATAAATCAAAACTACATCAGAAAACAAAATCGTAGTTTTGCACTATGGAAATTTGAATGATTTTTATAGAAATTTTAGAGCACATTCATCCATTATAAAGAGTGTGAAATATTGTTTCTTCACACTTTATATTTCCTAATTCAAAGAAATGACCATATGTTGATCCTTGGGTAAATTTTAAGATTGGAGTTTTTAAATATTTCTTTTGATCTGTACATCACTGAAACAAAATAAAATTGAACTGCGTATACGTAAATAAAAAGCACACTAAACATATACTAAATATTGTTTGGGGGATACAGTATAGATTTACTGGTAAAAGTTTATTATAATTTTCTTCCCTAGCGTCCATCGCAAACGAAAAAAAGCCTCTCACAACTGAACAAGTCACTCGTTGTGGTGATGACTTCAAAACTTTCTACCGAACACAGTTGTTCAAGATCAAGGCAGATCCACTTGACTTCAGCTTAGTATTAGAATTAGAAAGGATTTACACTGACCTAGTTCTCCTCAGAAACGAACAGGGAACGACAAAGAAGATACCCTTAGACTACAAGGAACTTCTCAAAACAAAGGTAAACGGGGAACTACCAAAACGTCTCGTGGTTGAAGGCGAAGGAGGATCAGGTAAAACAACATTTTGTTCCAAGATGGCATGGGACTGGACGAATGGAGCTGACAATTTTCAAGAGTTTGTCTGGGTTCTTGTTATTCCTCTGCGTGACATCAAAAGTAATCAAACAGTAGGGGATATCGCAAGAACATATCTCTCAGATAGTAACTCGGTACAACCACACCAAATCGACGAATACATATTGGCTAATCCCTCAAAGGTATTCATTATATTTGATGGGCTGGATGAATACGACGATGATCTTGTCAAACAAGGGAACGACATTGCTAAGATAATCAGGTCAGAAAAGTTCAAGGAATGCAGGGTCCTCTTTACAACACGGCCTTCAAAAGCAGACGAAATCAAGTCAAACGCAAATTTAATGAAAACATATGCTTTTATTGCTGTGGCCGGATTTGATAAAAGACATATTTCAATTTATATCAACAAATATTTTGCGGACGACGCACAGGCAAGTCGAGATTTGATCAAACTCATTAAAGACAATGATGTAATTCAAGAAAATATGGCTCCCTTTCCAATTTACATTGCAATGCTTTGTATTTTATGGCGGGATTCTGATAGCAAGAAACGAGAACTAATTCGCAGACTGAAGACATTTTCCCAGCTTTTCCAAGAAATCATTATATCGCTGAAAGACCACTACGTTTCCAAGCAGGTCACAGATCTTGACAAAAAAACTGTGAAACAATATGAACAGCTCGACTATTGTTTCTCACAAATTGGGAAAATTGCATTATCTGGCATCATGAACAAGAAATTAGTTTATGGTAAAGATGATTTCCGTTCATGTGAAGAAGCAATGGAGACATGTTGTAGAGTTGGAGTACTCAGTCATGAAACCCGGTTAGTTCGTAGACAAGATAGACATAGCAAGTCAACGGTTCTTGGTAGATCTAGAGCAAGTGTCTTCTTCCCTCACAAGTTATTCCAGGAATATATCGCCGGTATGTATCTTGCCTCTCTTTTCGAGTCTGATCATGAGCAGTATGAAACGGCTATTAGTGATGTGATTCCAAGAGCAAAAGAGTTCCGTTACCTTTTATACTTTACTGCATCTCAATCGAAGAACGTCGCTATTGATGTCACTAACAGGCTAATTAACAAGGGATACTATAGCTTGGATAGACATTTCCTAGTGGATATCGCCTTCGAAGTGTATGATGGGGACTTGGCAAAACTGGTCGGACAGCACCTCTTCGCGGAACAAAAGTCCCTAGAAATCAACGACGAGATGTCAGCGCACACTGTGTCTGGATATCTTTTCATCATGGATAAGATATCAGTGGTAAGTTTGAATAGTTGCTGAAAAATGCCACAACTTAAAAAAAGGAATGTAACATACACAAATAAAACACCACATGTTATTATTATGCCTCCGCAACCAAGTAGCCGGAGGCATTATGTTTTTGGGTTGTCCGTCCGACGTCCGTCTGTGATCGCGTTATCTCAATAACCGATTGATGGATTCCCGCCAAACTTAAGTCATGTATGTATCTCACAAATCCAATGAACTGACTAGATGTTGGGGTCACGAGGTCAAAGTTCAAAGGCCACAGGGTCCATTATGTTTGCAAAAATAGCTTGTGATCACTCTATCATTGAAACCGATGGACGGATTACCATCAAACTCAGGACATGTATGTATCTTGCAGAGCGAATGAACCGATTACATTTTGGAGTCATGAGGTCAAAGGTCAAAGGTCATTTGGCTCATTATGTATGCAAAAAAAAGCTTGTGAATGCATTATCATTAGAACCGACAGGCAAATGGATCCATGGGTTAATGAATTACATTCAAACTTTACTTGTTTAAATTGCTTCTATTTTGGTTCGTAAAATCGCTCTATGGCAGAGGCATCATATTTGACTGCGCGCAGTCGAAGATCCATCTAGTTATATAAATGATTCCTTTTGGGGGATTTATTTTTTAGTGGAATTTGTTATAAACAACTTATTATTTTTGTATATATGCTTAGGTAATGTTGATCGGGGACAATCAACTAAATGCACAGTTTTAATTCTTAAGTGAATACATAATAAATCAGTATTAAAACACAAACATGAAGAAATATGAACTTATTTCAAACAGAATTGGCCAGGGCTCCAATATAAGCGAAGCCAGATGCAATACATAAATTAGGGGGTTCCTGGTATTGCAAAAATACATCAAAGAGAAGAGAAAAAATGATAGGTAGAGATTGAAGAGTGATTGGGAGAGAGAGAAAGAGAGTGAAAGAGAGAGAGAGAGGTGGGGTTGAAGTGAGAAGTAGTTACTTTGTACAGATGATCGTACATATCGTTGCAATCGTTTTGAAATTGTGTTTTTCAACAAACTTTCTTCAAATACAGTTAGGTGCACATAAGTTATATTAACATATTTGGCTTTATTTATAGGAAACTCTAATATTGAGTAGATCATGTGGTCCAACAGTGTCCAGTGACCTAGCAGACGCTATATGCTCATCTACATCATTAACGGCATTGGAACTCAGTGGCACGGCGCTTGATAACGACTTCTATAGCACCCTAGAGAGTAAAATCAAGACGTCAAAGGTATGAAGAATCCTCGTAGAGAGTATGAATGAGGCAAAGTGGGGCGGAATGAGGATTATCTGCATGGGGGGGGGGGGGGTGCAAAACGGCTCTCTCCAGACATTCTTACAATGTCTTAGTTGATCAAAGCCTTACCATATTTCTATCTGTTATATTCCGCTTAAACAAAAATAAGATGACTATGAAATAGTGCAGTAACTTCAGTTATTGATGTTCGACTCGCTCTGAAAGTTTTTGGAAAATTTATTTTTTTCGCAAAAGGGAATGATAAGCATACTTTTATTAATTCTCTAGTTATGATGATCCCCATTTGTTCTGCACCATAATAGGTTAAACGACTATCACTCATTATTGATGGAAATTTCCGATGAGTATGCATCACGTAATCTGGCTAGATTCTTGAATAACCACTTTATTTCATCACCATTCTGCAATAGGCCTATTATTAACCATTATGACTATTATGCATCACCCCATATCTTTCTTCCTCACGCTCTCTCTGTCTCTGTTTCTCTCGTTTGATCTCTCATTCCCTCTCTCCTGATAATGTCATTGACTTACTTTTCATTATAACGGAAGATTCAGTTTTAAAGGTACTATGTTCCATGTGCAGCCAACATCAAAATCTGTAGAACTTTGCAGGAATTGTGAATATGTCATGTATGTCCAATCTGTGAAATGTAAACGTTAGCAGTGTCCTAATATTCAAATTATGCAAGGAAACCTGTTTACTTGCTAGACTTCATTGTCAGACACTAATCAGTGGCTGACTGGCTTTTCTTCTTCTTTGGTAATAACATACTTAAAATGAGCTGTAAAAGGTACATGAGCATTTGTCTACATCAATAACCCACTTCTTAAAATGGCCAAAATTAAACTGATTGAATCTTTGCGCAGCACAAAATGTACGACCATTCCGTACTAGGGTCTGAAAATCAGACTATTATTTGGATTGATTTGATTTGATTCGATTCGACAACTAATGGTCGTTATTTTCCCACTAAAAGACATTTTCAAGCCCTTTCATTTTGAGGGAAGTTCTAAATTAGTATTATCTTTCAAATGCTGTTAGAATGTAACGTTTTCATTTGTTTGGCCTTCATATGGGACAAGGTACCTTTAAAGATGAGAGGGTCTTTTCATCTATGGCTGCGTGATGAAATTTAATGTAAAATTGCTCGTCTAGCTACCTCTTTAATGGAAACACAACATCCATCTTACAGTGAATGTCATTAATTTGAAATAACATGCAATTATCTTTCCTGTATGAACTGTTTTTGAATATCAAGCTTTCGGAAAACGAAAAGGGGCATTTTGAATTTCGAGTGCAGCCCAAACCCAAGCCGTTACGTATCAATATTACGTAATTATCAGTAGTTATATATGAGGTCACTGCACTGGAAAAGCGCAGGAGAAGAATTTTGTTAGGTTTTTGTTTTTATTTTTCAATTATCTTTACTTTTTTAAACAGATTGGAAAGCTCTGCCTAGACTGCAACCTGAAGAAAAATGATTGGTTCATAGGACCAGAAATTTGTATTATCAGTTTAATGAGTTGTTATAATATCTAATTTTTGAACAGATTGAAAAGCTCTGCATAGACTGCAACCTAAGGGAAAATGATCCAACGGCATCACGTGCCTTAGCTAAGTTTATATGTCTTCTGCCTTTTCTCACTGACCTGAGGATGAAGGACTCTCATAACCTATGGCTACATGATAATTTCTATCATGAGCTTGCTCGGCTTGCTTCTTCAACAAAGGTAAGGTAAAACATGATTAA